GAAAACCCATCCTTCATTTTCAATATTTCTTTTTCATTAGAATTAGGTATTGCGTGTTGCAGTATAAACTGACTGCAGGAAAATATTTTACTCAGGTTCAGTTTTGTGAAATCGTCCCAAATATATGTATGACAATTTATTTAGTCATATCTACCCTTATTGGATATTTTCATTGTAGGCTAGACAAACAATCCGTTTAGTAGCAATAGATTTTTTGACTGTTAAATTACATTTTTCTACAAAATCTGCTCCAATTTATTTGAAATTTTACAGTGAATAGCAAAATCTTTTGTGCGAGAATTTCTGCACCATTCATAAATGAAAGAATTTTTTTTTAAATCTAAATTTGAATCAAAAAAGAAACTTCAATTTCATAAACTGCTAGTAAAAATAATGGGGTTATTAATAGGTTGCTGATATGCACTAATGGGTGTGAGATTGTATACCGATATTGTTTTAAGCGTGATTCAGTCTGAATACTGAGATATCTAAATCAGGGTTTCCCAACTGGGGAGCGAGGGGTCGAGGGACGATTTTTGGGGGTCGCGAAGATCACACCAATTTCACACAAAGTTCGATATTTATGAAACTAGTGCAAAACAGAAATTTCACGATTTCGAATATGATCGGAGTAGCGGTGCGCTTGCATAACAATGCTGGCTTTGATTGTTAGACCCGAGAAGTGCCGTGGTTCCAAATCACCCGCGGGCCGCACAGAAGTATCTAGCGGGCCGTATGTTGTGCAGGCCTGCCCTAGGAGTTTCAGTCCAATTACAGTGATCAAAAATTAGTGTAGAAATAGCTGTGATAGACTAGGCTAAAATTATTTACCGGTACTCCCTAAAAAACAGATTGTTGAATAGTATGAATTAGAAAGATAGTTTGAAACAAATACCCTATTTTATAGGCCACGGGAAACCATTCTTAAAAATAAGCACCGAAAATTTTAGGATGATAAAGTATAGGAAGAATTTTCCGGGGAAAAGGGTCGGGGAAAGGTCCATTAAATGAAGCGTCCCGGGCCAGATTACTACAGATTTTCCGACCTCTGGGATACGCAAACTACCGTACCTCACTGCGAAGACGAGTCCAGCTATCATTTCGCGTGCAATCACATTGCCCACGTGATTCAAACCTACGAAAGCACGCAGAGTACAGTAATCAAGTGCACAAGGCGCCGAGCAAAAACAGGTTTCGCGAAATCGCCCCCCTATCGCCCACTTCGACTTTTTCGCCCCCCTCTGTATCGTTTTCGCCCACCGGGGGGCGATATCGCCCACTTTGGGAATCACTGATCTATAAGACTAAGTATAATTCTAAAATTGAGATAAAATAATGTGATCATCTTTTAAAAATTGGCAAAATTGAAACGCATAAAAAATTCTGATAAACTCCTAAATCTAATTAAAAAAACTTCAGTTTAATTTTGATTTAACCTAGTAGATTATTAATAACATTTGTAGAAGCTGAAGATAGCTTTCCAGTGATACCATTAGATTGAAAATATGTTGCATCATTCAAATTTTGGAGGCATTTTTATTCGTGATTTTTTTTGTTGCAAGATCGATGCTACGTCAAGGTGACGTAAATAACGACCTAACACATTTACGCCGTTACGCAGCGACGTTACGCAATTACGCACTATTATATATACGCTTTTGGTAAAACTAATCCTGTCACTAATTTAACACGATGTCATATGAAGCGCGGATGTCATGAGATCACCGAGATGGGATGTTGGGCTAGCTAGAGAAATATTCGATAAAAAAATGGTTCAAACTTTCAAACTGAAAATCGCATATATCACCCAAAAATTGGTTTTTGCTCATTTAATTATATGTTCCCCAAATTGGAAGTTTTTAAATTTTGATATATTTTGCATTACATTAATAAAATCTTGATCTAGAAAAATAATCGATAAAGTATGTATAAAACTTGCCGAAAACGACTACTGAAAATCGCATATGTCACCCCCAAAATGGTTTTTGCTGATTTATTATATGTTCCCCAAATTTGAATTTTTTAAATTTTAATATTTTTTGCATTACATCAATAGAGTCTTGCTTTAGAAAAATAATCGATAAAGTATGTTTCAAACTTGCCGTAAACGACTACTGAAAATCGCATATATCACCCCTAAAATGGTTTTTCCTAATTTATCATATGTTCCCCAAATTGGAATTTTTTTAAATTTTGATATATTTTGTAAAATACGTGGATGGAACGTAAATATCCAAAATAAAGAAATGTGGGTACTTCCGTAGTATGTGTACCAGGTTAGGCCATAATTTTATTCCGATTATCCTCACTTTAGTTCTATTTAAGTTCGGGGACTGTCTGTGTTAACCAAGTGAATATACCTCATGCCCATAGGTTTTAGTCCCTTTACACAACTTTATGTAAGGTAGGCGAATAAAATTAGTTACCTCTATATTGGTACACACACTTCTGGAGCACCGAAATGTGATTATCCGAAATTGGGCGGGCAAGATCAAATCCAACAAATATTTTATTTTTTTAGCTTCACGCCCGTCGTTTGATAACCGCTGTTCTAGTGAATAGTAAATATCAGAGTAAGTATGTTAGTCGTTGGTAGAACCGAGCGTTGATTGGTAAAACCAAAGAATAAAAAAAAACGCGCGGGGGAAAAGTCATCAAAATAAGTGGAAACGAGGCTTGATTGGTAAAACCGAATATTCTAGAAAAAGGGCGTGGTAATAGTCACCAGTATGGTGGCCCATCGTTGTCACGCTTAAAAATGAAAAAAAAAAAAAAAAAAAAAACTTGAAATAAAAATAAAATAAAAAAATAGTTGTGAAAAAACACAAAAAAAAATTAGAAAAAATGAAAAATAAAAATTAAATGTGAAAAAAAATTAAAAATAAAAACGAAAATAAAATAAAAACAAAATTATAAATAGAAAAAAAAATTAAAAAAAAACGTGGATAAAAAAAAATACAAAGGTTGACCACGGTGGGCCGCCTCGTGGCCCATCGTTGTCACGCGTTTTTATTTTGAGAAAATTTGCTTCGGCTTGGGACCAACGTTGTCATGCATATTCCAACGCGCACAAACGGTGTTTCTTGGGTTTCTAACTCACTACTGATTTTCTTGAGCCATATTCAGTAAATTCAAAACGAAAATGTTCTATAAATTCTCCATGCTACAAGTTCAACTAGAAGTAATATATTTATAATAATGATAAGAGAATATAGAATTGAGTACGAAAATTCTGGAAATTTGTTTTTACGTGTAGAAGGCAATTTATTGGAGAATGCCGCTCAGCTGTCCGGACACACTTGCGATACCGGTACCGTCTGACCGTACCTGTACCCATGCAATCACTGATGAAAGGAATGGGAGACGGATAGTCTAGCTAGTAGAATATAGTGAATTGAGGGATGGATTGAGCGCAGCCAGTTACAGGTTGTGCGTAATATTAATTACCAGCATGGTACCGGTTATTGTAATTGTCATGAGGGTACGGTACCGGTACAGCCAATGGCGCGTCAAACTTTTTTGCTGATAATGGTGCTCCTTAAACCTAACTTTAAAATAAATTTTTAGGGATAAATAAATTTTAAGTTAGATGTTGTTATAGACACATAGACTACCTACCGTGCGCGAGACTAAATAAATTCAAGTACCGTAATAGTTGAATGTTTGAACATCAATATTCAAATTAACCAACGAACTCACTCTTGTGTTACATGTCTGCATGTCTGATGTGATAATCTTAAGTATATATTATATAATATATTATATTTACCACCATGTCAATGACAAACCCAGGGAACACCGTTTGTGCGCGTAGGATTATGCATGACAACGTTGGTCCCAAGCCGAAACAAATTTTCTCAAAATAAAAACGCGTGACAACGCGGCCCATCGTTGTCAACCTTTGTATCTTTTTTTATTCAAGTTTTTTTTTTCAATTTTTTTTTTTATAATCTTGTTTTTATTTTCATTTTTATTTTTAATTTTTTTTTGCATTTTTTTTTATTTTTTTTTTCAATTTTTTTTTTTTTTTAATGTTTTTTCACAACTATTTTTTTATTTTACTTTTATTTTAAGTTTTTTATTTTATTTTTTTCAATTTTAGGCGTGACAACGATGGGCCACCATACACCAGACAAAGTAGGAACGAGCGTTGATTGATTAAGAATGAGATTTAAAAAAAAAACGCGCGGGGTAAAATTTATCAGAAAAAGCAGGATCGGCCGTTGATTGGTGGGGTCGAAATTTTACAAAACGCGGGATAGTAATCAACTTACTAATCAACGCTGCCTCGACCTGAGTCGTGTTAGTAAACTTGCCGTTCGCGTGTCATCAAGATGTCAAGATGCTACGTTTCTGTTTTGTTTACAGGGCCATTCTATGGCAGTCGCGGGCATGTGATAGGTCAGAATTGAATATAACCTAAAGTTATGAAAGAAGAGTAGTCTTCAAAGTAATGAAATCAAGTACATAAGAGTCTTCCAAAGTTGAGTTTTAAGCGTGCGCGTTTTTTTCAACTAGCGATGTAGTTACCGGTATAGGCCCTATTTTTCGGCATTTTAAGAATGTTCCCCTGCTTTTCTATTTTATAGGGGTTTTCGAAATTTAGAGGGTGGTAGATATTTAGTTATTAGTGATAAAAGCTATTGTTACTTATAAAAGCATTTCAGAGTTGAATTTTGAGCGCGAGGTTGTTTTTTCAACTAAGAGTGTAGTTACTGGTATAGGTGCCAGGCTATTTGTCGACATTTTAAGAGTTTGTTTTAGGAGGTGCTTCTTATGTAACTCATAAGAAAGTATTTTACTGATAATTTGCATTTTTAATTACGTTGAAAATTAAAGTATGGTTTCACACCAGAAATTTAGGAGGCGGGCGGGAGAGATATATGGAAATCACTGGTTTGAATCTTGTTGTGTTATCCTTTTTCCCGTTCCTGTTACCTTGAATAAGTGCGAATATTTATCAGTTTATTTTATTATTCCAGTTAATATAAACCATACTAGGCATAATTAACATGCTGCAAATCCGTGTGTATTTAAAGAGGTTAATCGTAATCGTCTCATTGGCATCAGTGAAAGAACTTTCAGGTTAGTACTGTACGCACACCGTGCTGCGCTTTAGGAATACAACCCAGTTGCAACAGCCTGACTCGAAAACTTCAATTTCGCGGGTGGGTGTTGTTTTGTCGGCGCTCCAGAAGTGTGTGTACCAATATAGTTGTGACTAATTTCGTTCGTCCATTTTACATCAAGTTATGTCGAAAGACTGAAATCTATGGGCGGGGTATATTCACTTGGCTGACACCGACAGCCCCCGAGCTCGCAATAGAACTAAAATAAGGGACATCGGGATAAAATATTGCCTGATCCTAACGTGGTACCCATACTTCGGCAGCACCGTCTTGCATCGGCGGGTTCTGTAGTTAGCGCCCAGTTATGGGACTTATTATTGGTTTTACTGTTCTTGGGTGAAATAAGAAAATCTTGCAAATAATATATATCAGCAAAATGCAGAAATTCATTATCAATATAAATTCTCGTTTCCAGCTCACAGGCAATCCGAAAAAAAATTGGTACTTCTGAAGTATGCGTGCCAAGATGGCGGACACCGCAACGTAGTGTGTGTAATGGGATAGGGTTAGATCATTATTTCAGGGGTAGCGAATGTGCATTGTGTAACTATAGATTATAATGTAAAAAAAACCTTTCATTTTAATAGTGTGTTCATTTCACACAATAGGTATGAGTAAAGTATGATATGTTTTGATTCACTTCTGTTTTACTGCGTTACGTGTGATGTGTTTTGATTCACTTCTGTTTTACTGCGTTACGTGTGATATGTTTCGATTCACTTCTGTTTTACTGCGTTACGAGTGATGTGTTTTGATTCACTTCTGTTTTACTGCGTTAAGTCTGATGTGTTTTGATTCACTTCTGTTTTACTGCGTTAAGTGTGATGTGTTTTGATTCACTCCTGATTTACTGTGTTAAGTGTGTTTCAATTTTATCTGTTTTCGGAATTTTGGATTGTGCATCTTTCTATAATATACAACAACGATTAGCATCAACACTGTGTGCTTATTATCGTCTGAAGGAATCCAGATTGGAGTCACATTCCATAATGCGTGTCAAAACAATAACACGGGAATCGAACTTAAATATATAGGGTTGCTAGTCTTTATCCCTAAGATCCATCAACATCTCATCTCTTTCGCCCTATACAGGTACTAATACTACAAGAATCAATTGGCTAGTCCCGAAATTGTATTAGTACTAAAATAAGGAAAATTGGAACAAAATAATAGGCAAACCCTAACCTGGTACACATACCACGTTCCGGTGCCGCCATCTTGCTTCACTTACTTCGAGAATACCAAAAATTTAATGGCATCTTCGGCGCCGCGAGCAAAGTAGATGAATATCAAATGATTGATAACTCAGTAGTAACAAACTTGTGAAATGTTTTTCAGAACACGAACAATGCACAGTTTGGTACGGCGATTTTGAAAACTGATTTGCAATTCCTGCCGTGCATGTTACGTCATCATGGACTGACTGACTGAATGTTCCGAAGATTTCAAATACGTCATCAACTTGAAAAAGGTAAGCATTGAAATTATATGACGTTTCAGTCTACTTATTGCTGCTCATGCTGATATTGTTTGGTAAAAAAAAATCGGCGCTCCAGAAGTGTGTGTGGAGGTATGAACATAACTAATTTTGTTCGCCTACTCAACATCAAGTTGTTTAAAGAGAACCTAAACCTATGGGCAGGGGATATATTCACTTGGCTAACACAGAAAGTCCCCGAACTCAAAATAAATAAAATTGGAATAGAAAAGTAAATTGGAATAAAATTATGACCTAACTCTGACCTGGTACACATACTACGGAGTAGCAAAAATCGATTAGAAAATTGTACCCACAGCAAAATTTTTTTTTTTAGTAATGCCTTGCATTATAATAACAATCCTGAAATTATCATTCTATTGCCATTTTACAGGTTAAAGAAAATTTCATAATATTCCAGTTTTCAAGAAAACTGGCCACGACATCAACCGACTAAGGTGGGAAAAAATGAATACAAGCCGGTAGGCGCCCGGTTGGATCTCCGCCATCGCTTGAGGCCCGCATCATTTCGGTTTACTAACGGATATTAGGAGACACTTCTAACACGCCAGTTCGTTTTGAACGCTGCGGGTTCCGCTGAGTTCATTTTGAACGCTGTTCGTTTCGTAGTCTTACTCGCGTGATAAATTGTGAAAAAAATTGAAATTTCATAACGATCGGCGCTTTTTTCGTTGTACCATGGAAACGAAACCCATATCTGGACTTACTAGGGTGACAGGATAACCCACATGGAAAATTTCATCCTGATAGTCCAGCCGTTAAGACGCTACATCCAAACAGACAGACAGAAAGATACACAGACAGACAGAACGACTGATAATAAGGGTCTCCTAGAAGCGGAGATCCGATGTAACTACGCTGAATAATAAGCATTCATCGGAATAGGTCTCTACGCTTCGCTAGAGGATTCTTCACTTGTGTGGTAATACAAATTTCGTCTGTCGATTATTAGTTGGTCAGCAAGATATGACTAGACATGGTTCGACAGACGAATCTAGACTAGGTGTTTAGATGGCTCTTGTTAGGGATGTTTACCAAAGAAATACTCAGTCCGGCGGGTGATGGGAATTTGAGAATTCAAATGATTTTTAATAATAATCTGCTCTTTATGAACGTTTATATGATGCATATATTAATCAGCATAAATAAATTGCTGATTAGACGTTTATTTAACATCTTTCTGATGTATCGACTCACACAGTAATAATTTCGTGGACGATTTCTTACGATTAATATTTGGAATAGGGAAATCTAACCATATTCTTTCAATAATGCCGAAACCTTTCGATAATTAATATTACAATGTGATATTATTGAAATTAAACAAATTTTGCTTTGACCAACCAAATTAAATGAAGAAGGGTTTCGGTTAGGCTTAACACTGTACTGAATTATGTATTGTTAGTTAGGTAGGACGTTAGGTTCTTATTCTTTATTATGGAGATTAAGCTTCAAAGTCTCCTAAATTGAATCGGTCACATGGAGCACATATTTGGATGAGACTTGAGCTTTTTCCCTTTGCATATTAGACCATAGTACAGGGTCTCACAAATTGTGAGACGAAGCAGACGAAAGACTTCGGAAATTACAATAAATCCTCTCGGGTACAATAAATGGCAATAACTCTCATATTTCTCTAGAGGAATTGTTTGAAAAAATCCAAATCATTTGTTTGGATTATTCCGATATTTGGATTTATTTGAAAACCATTGGTCCCTATTGCACTTATAGAGGAGGGTTTTCTAACCCAGATTCAATATTGCCAAGCCCAGTAGCACTAAGCTTCTGGTAAGGTAGTTAGACTAGGGCAAATAGTAGTTGGTGACCTGAGCATTGTGCACACACAATTGTATTATGCAGTTAAACCCATAAACCACGAGAAAATCTAAAACTGAAATTTAACTTATTATTACAATTAGGTCAACTGTGCGCCAATGCAAAGTTGTCTGCTAATCTTCTAAGATGTTGATTCTAGGTCTCAGGCAAGTTGGGGTTTTTAGGCCGGTCAGCTTTCAGTTTATATATGGGTTCCGTACGGCAGTCGTAAACAAACTTATAAATTGCAATATTTGTGTTCGTGTTTATGATTGCAGAGGGAGCTGACACCCGCGCTTCGATTTGGATAGCCTAAACCCCTGGTGCTTGCATCATTTAGCTAGCATTCACTCAACGTAGCAGAGTCAAATCGTCCGCGCACATGATGAATACAGATTTGGTTAATTAAAGCTGACCTTAGGCAGGTTAGATTATGTAGGGAACGCTCCGTTCATTGCAATATTAGATCAGGTCGGCGTAAATAGACTTCGGCGAAAATAGACTTATTTAGTTAGGGATAAACAGGTATAAAGGTGAAGAGTAATTATCACTCGCACTGTTGTCCTCTCTTGTGACTTCAAGCTGGGTTTGATGATTTACTTTTTCACGGTGATGGGGACGCAGTAGGAGAATGAGTGATGTAACGGTTCCCAGACATCTTGTCTGGGGATTGAAACTCTTTCTTTTCCAATCTACCTCTAGGCTGTATTTTTACACTTGTGCGTAGTTTTTATTTTCCGTGGTTTATTATCTTGGCAACAAAACCATGTTCCTGCACTGTAATGTCGCGCGGTAAAATGCAAGACATTTATCATATATATTCGACTTGTTTTTTTATCATCATTGCTAAGATGTACTATATATAGTAAAATATAAATATAGTTGAATATAAACGCAAGAATACGGCAATCCAAAGCGTAAATTTGAATACGGTTTTAGGTTTCTTACTTGTTCTAACTTGAACATTTCATTGTTCTCGATCGCCTCCATTTGTTTACGCCGCCGTCTTTGATTCAATAATTACAAACTAGAAACCATTTAGTATTACGCTATGGGCTAACTAACTGAAAGAATGAAATTATCTCTAATAATCATTGCCGATTTAGATGATCTCACCGATTTCAGATATTGTAATCTCAATTCCACTTTGTAGACATTTGAATCAATAATTGTGGGCCAAAGCTCAGTTTAACTGCATTAGTATAGCTATGAAAAATGGCTGAAGATACGAGCGTTGGATTATGAAAAAATTAGCGACACAAGTATGCACATAAACCATTAAACCTAAAAATTTACAAACAGGAAATCAGTTCTTACCTGACGGCGTCAAATTTGAAAAGACCGCCTGAGCGCAGACAAATTTTGACGTGGCAAGAAAAAAGTGTGAATATAATAAAGAAACAAAGAGGATAGAGGAGACCGCAATATGGAGATGCTCTCTCATTCGGTATTAGGAATCACATGTCTAGGTGACGTGAGAAAATAGCAAAACAACAAAAAAAGACGGGCCATGCTGTTTGTCGCATTAATTTTTTACCACTACAGCCATATAATAATCTGGATAAATTTTATTCTAGACAATATTTAATATCCTACATTATTTAGAAAAAAAAATGATTGGCAGAAAGATATTCCACCGACGTTATGGTGTGGAAAGCAGGAAAAATTACGCTGACCAAACATACAGCGATTATAACAAAACCAGACGATTTTCCTTTAATATGATGCTTATTCAATACTTGTCGCTTCAAACAAGACCCTATGCAAGCATCCACAGATACCCCACGATATGCTATGAGTTACTTTCAATTAAGTTTAATTTCCGGATCTATTATCGACCCGCCACGTCCCGAACTATTCCGTATTCGTTGAAAATATTCGATAAAATGCGATTTTTTCTACCCCTAGCAAGTGCGAATCTATGGCGCCCATGGCAAAGTTTAAAATGCGCCTCCCTTGATAGTTGGTTGACAATTTATAATGACTGTCATTTAAATGAGATACATGTACGTTATCATTTGTGTAGAAATACGAATTTCAGTTATTTCCAATTCGAAATTATTCTATTAAAACATTTTACAATGAAAACTTTTCGTGCTTTTTGTGCCCAAACAGTGACTATGACACGAGCCATGCTTGCCAAACCCTAAATACTCCATACACCCCTAGTTAGTTGGTTCCTATGTTAAAATATCGACATTCTATCGATGCCGAATGAAAAGAGTTTCTCTGAGGAAAACCATTTCTGTCATAAAAAATCATTTCTGTCATTCTCATAGAATTCGGTTCCTAACTAAATAAATGAGAAATCAGTGTAAATTACATTCTAACATGAGTATTCTTTCCAATATTTTATATGGTGCTTGTATACCTCATTCATACGAAAACATTTAAGCTCAATTTTGAGATGACTGCTTTTTTATACCTACTTTGTTGCTCCGAACTTTACCACTCGAACAACTTGACTATTGCAGTGACGTTTTAATGCCCCTATATAACCGTTGCTTTGAGTCATTCACCATTTACATATTTTAAGTAACCAATGCTCACTATACACTGACATGAAAACCTTCCCTTATTATTTTAGCCATCAATCAAAAGTGTCAAATTCGTTAATATCATGATTGATCAAGCAAGTAATTTTTCTGAATTTATATCTAAGTATATTTAATAAATGCTTATATCAGGGTGGTTCCAAACCTAGGCCCACATGTGGCCCGCCTTTTCATTATCTGTGGCCCGCGCCGCATTCGAAGAGTAATCGAAACATTGTATTTTAAATTGCTTCTCATAAAATAAATCAGAAAAATCGTTCGACATATTGTTGTCATATCACCACTGTGACTGAATTGACCAGTATGATGGCTAGTTGAAGCAACTAGCGAAGTTGAATTATGTGATTGGCAGTTTAAATTGTTACTTAAATTTCTATTGTTTGGGTTGCGAATACATGCTAACAATATACGCATGATAGAAAACTAAAAATCGAATACGGATTCCATTAGCCTAGGTTTGCAATGCCTGTTAACTATGTGTTCGCACAATAGAAGTGCTTGTTTCGTACTACATTGTTTACCTATTCTTGGTACTATTGTGACCCGCGACCAATGCCAAAATAATTTTGTGGCCCGCGGAGCCCACCACCTTGGACCACCCTAGCTTATATCATCCCAAAATCTTGCCAACTAAATTATTCTTTCATTGAAAGTTATTGATGGTTTCGCACAAACCTAAAACATCACATCCTAGATGTCTTATCACATCTAAAGCTCTTGTCTTTTACGTTATAAATATTGAGTGGTACTGGTAGCTGATCTCCATGTTCACATGGTCGTATTGATACCAGTTGCTATACAGTCTATACGGAGAATTTGTTGCTTGCAATTATATTTTGTCGTGCTATTGTTTTCTGTTTGACAAAACAAATAAACTCTTTACTTAAAATATGAGAAAACTATTTTGAGATGTTCAAGACTTGAAGAGCAAAACGTGATAATATATCAAACATACCTTCACAATAAAAATTTTATTTAAATTAATAATCGAAAAAATTTGAAAGAAACTTTAAGAATTATTTACAATGTTTGGTTAATTTTAATTAGCCGATTTTGATTTAAATTTGGCATACGACTCAATCACTCTGCATAGAGAGACTATTTACCATGTTTCGTTAATTTTAGTCTCTCTATGCAGAGTGATCCCAGTCGTACGTTAAATTTAAATTAAATAACAATCCCTTTGCACGATGACATGAAACATGTTTTAACATGTCATTTCTATGCATAATTAAGTAACAAAAAATATCAGAAATAGGAAAAAATTGTTTGACTCTATTTGATGACATGAAATTTTCTTAAAACAAATTTAACTAACTGTAAAATATTCTGTTCTTCATTTTTCATATCTTGTTTTAAAGCTCCCGACGAACACAAACGTATTTCAGGCAACATTGTACAACAAGATAATAAATATGCAGATGTATCTCATAACGTTAACCTCCGAACTGTGCCTCAGTTTTTTACTTCTCGAATTTCATTGAATTTTACATCCACGGTGCGAAGTTCCGGGAGAAATTCCGCTCTTTTCTGAAATTTAGGTCCGTGATCTGTTCCTCCTTCGTAGATCATAATCTCCAATACCTTATCAAGGTTTGTCATCGCCGATTTCATAAATAATTTCTATTTAATTCTATATTTTATGGCGTCACTACTCACTACCGATATACCTCTCACATCTTTATTTAGTTGATACTAATTATCAGAGGTTCAATCGCTACATTAAACATTTAGATACTCAGCGGATTTAATTTTCAAATTTAGTGATTCTTGATTTCATCTAACTTGCTGTCACTGGTTGCATACCGACACCCTACTGCCAGATTTACGGTAATTTGACACACTCAGTCATATTTTGCCATCTACAATCTGACACGCCTCGACTGTATTTCGCACCCCTAATCTGACCCCAACCCCAAAATAAGTATGTGCAAATGAGGAGTGACCCGTCTTCCTGTAACAGTCTGTTTTTTAGGGTTCGATGTATATTTGTGTTCGAGCTATCAGAACGCCATGTCATTTAAACACTTAAGAATAGCAAACGGAGAATATTGATGCGTTTTCCTTGCCATTGGAGCCCTGAAAGTATTATTACTTCCCTGAGCGCTTATTCCCCCCCCCCCCCCCCCCCCCCCCTTTTAGTAGTATCAAAGTTACGGCGAAATGCTATTTGAACGTTTGACAACTGGCACTTATTAACAGTACCGACTGCACATAAATCTCTATGTGGTTCGTTTTGTCATTATGTTGTTGTTGTTCATCATCATGTTGTTATTTTTTTTCTAGTTGTTACCGTATCAAAATCGCTTTTCTCTTTCTCTACCTGACTGCTTTGAAATTTCCAGTGACTAAAGATTGTATTTTTGGCTAGGAGGCTATTACTTTTATTTTTATTTCAAATAATGTCTTCTAACGAGAAATGGAATCTTCAACCACTGAAAATTTCAAAGCAATTGGTCGTGTATAGTTAAAGATAAAAGTGTTTTTTATTCACAGCAACAATAATAACATCAACGAGTAACGACCAGCTTCTCACTGTTGGTATAATAGGTTCAATATATATGACACATAGTCTTCTTTTCCATAATACATATATAATCGGATTCATCTAAAAAGTCTCATACGCAAAATTTCTTATACCGGGTGCAATCCGTATGCAGCTGCTAATGTCCGTAAGTGGAAAAGTCGGCTATGTAGGTTCAAATAAAGATAATGGAAGTTATAATAAAATCAAGTCAAAGTGAAAATATCTAAATATCATTTCAAGCTTCGAAGGTTACAATTAGAATCTTGGGAAATCAGCGACTATGAAAAAATTCTTGATTATTAAACAATCTTTTTATGGAAATTTATACATGGCGTTTTACGTTCAAGAGAACCGATTTTATCCCTTGTGTGCGACTAACTAGGCGGTTTTGTGTTCAATACTTCGGATAAAGTGTGTGGCATTGCGGATTTTTTACGAATGAGTTAAATAAGATGTGCATTTTACTACAATCGCCTTGCTATCATTCTATGGAATCCAAGAGTCTTTGTCTAGTCTATTCCTCGTATTTAAGTCTTATTATTCTAAAATTCAAGAGAAAACATGAGTAATTTATTATTGGGTAAGATAAACAAAAACAAACAAGGGAAAAACTGCAAATATGATTAAAAAATAATATTTTGGTATGCACCTCTAATAAAACATATATAACCAAACTCTGTCGAAATTGATTTAGATCATATAAATCAGTCTAGTATTTATTTTTTTTTTTTCAGAAAAAAAATTAACGCATATTTGGGATATCGTTTTGAAAATACAAATTATACCTCAGTTCACAAATAATATATTTTGTTTAATTTTATATAAACACTAAATCAGCTCATCACATTGAAGGATAGCCAACAGCCCTTCTCAATATGCGGTTAATAGGCTGCGTGAAAGTTTATTATTAGCGATACTTGAAACTTGACAAAAAGTAAGTAATATCAGATGTTTTTGCATATTATTTTGGTGACGCTTTGGCTATCTTTATATATTTACTCACAAATTAATAAAGAAAAAAAAAACTAAATTATCCAGCGAAATGATCAGTAACCCCGAAGCGTATGAAATCGCATTTAAATCCTATACAGAAGACGAGGAAATACTACACGGAAAGATCCACCTAACTAACCTATACGGTTGCCACTTTCTCCAACAACCATGTCCATGTAAATATATTTGGAATGTTTAAATGGATAAATATCATCAGCCCGTCACAGAGTTGTAACCCGATTGTATATGTATATATACCCAAGCGTGTTTCACTTTTCTCTGCTATTAAACACATATGAAATCACATTTTACAAAGAAACACAAACTTGTGGTAATCAACAATTGCGCTGGATTCAAATCCTAAATGTGATAAATCAAAGATATGCGCAAGGCATATATATATACCTAAATGCATATGCAATATTATACAGTAATAAATTGACATAATCTATGAAACGCTCCGGCACCAAAAATATACTGGCATTGGTAATTACAACATGCCGTGGATACCAGTACTTCAACAATTGCATGTATCCCACGCATTCTTATATGATAGTAGTTTTATATGGCTTTTTGAAACTCGTGTATTGTGTTCGATTGTCTGTTTATGTATATTTTGCGAATGTCTGTTCATCTTTTTTATAAAGCGCAATCTCTTGTATTGTGTCTTGCAATAAACCACGGTGAGTTCATGCTGGTTGGTATTTCACATCCCGTTCAATAGAAATGTTTCCAACAGTCTATGCGATGCTGCTTTACTTTCTTTACAACATCATGGTTTTCGTTCCCATACTTTGAGTAAGCGAAGATTTACACAGAATCGAAGCCATTGACGTAGCCATTTTCTGAAACTAAAAGGGTATTCATAGTATGAAATAGCAAGTAGGCTAGATAATACAATATTCTGTGCCACAAAGTAAATATAGACCGTGATCTTACCCGGGATTTGTCTTTCTGTGTGTCTATTATGCATAGTCAAATGAGCTTCAGATGAGTCCGACAGACATCTGTTATATCCCGGTGGTGGCATCTTCGGAAGAGCATATTCCATTCGACGTTTGAAAGTACCTACGAATGGTACTTTTCCGGACCAATTAACTGTTATATTCCGCTGAAAAATGAGATAATAGGTTGATCAATAATCACAGAAGATTGCCGAAAATGTGGAATAATTAAAACCTTTTTGAAGTACATTTCGGAAGAAGTGTTTTTATGAAACTGAAGCTGAGGGCTGGTGTAATATTTGTCATTACGTACACAAGTTGTTACATCATGTCTCTATAGAAAATGTTTGCTTGTACAATGACATGTATTGCTTAGGTACAGACTCTAGTCATTCGGCCAATTCAATGTTCTGACTAGATTGACGTCATTTTGTTAATTTAAAAAACTTTTTGTTGGGCTTTAATGTTGCCCAAATGTGGTAATATGAAACATACGTTTTAGATATTCACAAAATGATTTTTATGCTGACAACTATACTGTGATAAAAACTAACCTTCATTGCCGAATACAACGTTTGTTTAGTTTCTGCATCCGAAAGAGATATTGCCTTCTTCGCTCCAGGCATTGTGACGAATATCAACTTTTTACCAGTGTTCACAACCTCTTCAAGAGCCTGAATAAAAGCAATATGATAAAAAAATTGATTTCTCTGCATCTCCGATACACGAAGAAAACAACCATTCCCCATTTCTACGAAATAAAACTTACTTGATGTGTTGTGTGCAAACTCCAGTGATCATTGATGTATTCCGGTGATAACAATATAATAATTCGATGACAATCCGCTAAAACTTGCATTAGATTCTCAGCATCATCTGAAATTCAATTAAATGAATCATTTTTACAAGCACAGCTTCTTTTGTATCTTAATGTATTGTAATTGATCTTTTACTCTGCTGGAGCTATAATTAGGGATAACAACCGACTTTATCTCCAAATCACAAATTTATTTTTATTATATTAGGTTATATGAAATTATCAATTCATTTTATGGATTGAATGAATATTATATAAAATATTGGTAATTCGATGGTTCAATGATTGAGTAGAGGGAAACTTACATTGAGTCATGTTGACCTGTTTTTGATCGTTATAGGTTGTTCCGTGTAACTGATTGATATATTTTTCGACATTTGGCACCAATGTTTCTGTATGAATTCGAGATTTATCCGTCATCTTTTGAGGGTCATTGTCATAGTAATATGCAATATAAGCCGTATACGTGTATATTTCTGAAATTAGAATTAGAAAATAAAAAATAAGATGGAAATCCCCGCGGAACTGCTCGCCTCTTGTATTCATATATATATACCACCACGGGCTGCTATAGAAGAATATACTATCATTTTGCTTTACAAAATCGGCCTACGTTTTAAATTATGGCGTATACCAGTATTTCCATGATGCCCAATATATTCTAATCGTTTTTAAACTAAAACGCTCTAGTACTGCTTTTAAACTCTGCTATTTCACATTAATGATGTTTTTATCAATTAATTGTCGGGGCATTTGCTACTCATTGTGTCTCGGTAAGAAGCTTACGTTGCGATATTCGAAAAAAGTTGATAGGGATAATGCCACTGTTTAGAAAAATGACATTGGAAGTAAAAATTAGTAGGCTTCTTGACACAAGGCGTAAACACGTACAAACCAATATTTTATATCCCACTTGTCACATATTCATCGTGAATTGCAAGATTATTTTACATACAGAGTAGATCATACAAACCTCTTTCATATGGTCCGAAATGCTTTTTCCAATACCACAGGACATCATGTTTTTTCCAAATACAGAGTAATATCAGGAGAAGTAAAAGAAAGAAAAATATGACCCCGGTTGTAATTGCTGCAATTTCCCCGGCGAGTTTTTCTGTTCTATCTTCAATCAATGTTACGTTGGCAAACAATTTGGAAGATGAATAAGTAAACTTTAACGTATAGGAATCCAGGTCTGATTGCGTAACGTTGCTAAAAAGGATAATCGGAAATTAAAAAAGAATAAAAAATCTAAAGCGAATTGAATTTTTTAATTTAGTTGTGAAATGTGGTAGCGATATCAAAAATGATCCTGCCAATTAGAAATATAGACAATTTTTTTTTTTATCTGTACAGCCTAACAGAAAAACGAGGAAAAATACCAATAAAATTAAAAAAAATTGGTAACCAACGTCAAAATTTGCGGCGAAACCTAAAATGCATTAGGCTGGCTTAACACTTTTAACAAAACGCTTGCGTATGTCAAAGTTTTTCAAAAAAAATTTCAACCAACATTCGTTTTAATTGTTTCGGACTTTGGAGTCGGATATGAAGTTTTTCCGACTGTGTGTATACTGTATAGTATAGCCCTGTTTAGTAGACTTTTTTTATAGTATAAACCGTGTATGCAACAATCAACGTATGTATATTACCTTATAGTTAATAAAACTTGATATATATCGTGTGGGGGTTCAGCTGGTTGAGGATTTGATGGGCTGTAACATTCGGATTCTTCCACGCTCGAGATTCTGAATGAAAATAATCGGTCACATTTTTCGTTTCAATTACATCATGACAATTAAGGCCAAAGCAGAAACACAAACCGCAAAAATCAACATTATTTTAGGTAGTATTATATAAAAACAGCGAATAAAGCAAGTATTCGTCTGTATATACTCTAATTCACTGTCATACTCTTCAATAGTGATAATCATAGACATAGTTTTGTTTGAGCTAAATTTGTTACAGTAGCAGTTGATAGTTAGCCAGAATTATTTTACACAAAGAACATGTTGCGGCTGATAATTTTATATTAAGTGTGGAATGTTTACGATAAAAATCCAAGCATAATTTTAAACCAAGCAAGTGCGCCAAAACGGCTGTTGGAAAAAAGACAAACGACAAAAGAATGGAAGAACCATTGCGCTATCAGGTCTGATGGTAAAGTACATAATATATAGATATTTTCGAAAATTAAAAAATATATATAAACTATTATACGTACGCCATGCACTTCAATCTTGGATCCGAGGTAGAATTAAAAAGGATTCCTTCATTCATAGTTTGACACAAAGGGGCAGAGGTGTTTTCAGTCTGTGGCAAAATGAGAAAATATTTGAAACTGAAACTATTGCATAAAGTCCAGTATTGCCATACTATAAAATGGGCAATAACAGTATTCAATGTATAGTGTAACTGTAAACAATGCGTTAACTCCATTATAACCACATAAATACTATTTTCACTCGATTTCAAATTCTAGTAACTCCGTCCCGAAATTGATTGTAGCTAAATACATTTAAATAAACTACCTTGCTCCAATCAGAAGACACTAATATACGATTTGCTTTCCCCAGTCCTAAATCGGCGTGACATGTAATTTGCATATCGTGTCCAATTTTAACCGGTAGAATTTCTGGACATTCAATTGAAAAACCTTGCTCTGCTGTGCTATCAACTGGTAAAAGAAATTATAAGTTCTATAAATATTTCGATTAACCCAAAAAATATTTATCTCAAACTAATTTCGAATAAAAAGATTTCAATTATGCAATATTTTATTAGTCTGTAAAATAGGTCATAATTTGGAATATCGTTACTGGGCATTTATGCCAATGTTTGAAGAACTCTTGCACAAAATAAGCTAAGGAACTTTATAAAATTTTTAGAGACGATTCCCGAATAATTCATTTTGTCTGATTTGATACAAACCGAGACAATGCCCATTTTCAAAATACAAGTAGTATACACCTGGCTTCAATTGTAATTGTCATTATGAAATTATGCCAGTAAATGAATTACTCTGCTAAACTCTAACTAAAACTCAATCTTACATTGTACACAAACGTGATGCTGCATGTTATACATCTCTTGTCCCTTGTAAACTACAATACAAGTATAGGTACCGGTCTCCTCATACGTGATTTGTTGAATTGCAACCTAAGTTAAAGGAGAATATTAAGCTTGGAGATAAAGTACTAAAATTAGAAAATGAGTAACACAACAAGTCCCAAGTTCCCGATCAGATAGTATTTTACTTCTTTCCTTCGTCGCTTTCTTAAAATTTCGTTTTTCAGTTTGTACTTTTTATTATATAACGTTAGCTCAATTGGAAAATGTATTTGTAAATTGAGTTTGTACAACTTTTTTCATTTTGTATTTGCGAGCTACTGATCTATTTATATTTTCCGTCAGGATTTTACCTACCCCATTTCCTTGTTGTAAGACGTTGTCGTTCATTGCTTCTCCGCAGTTATACAGCCATTTGTACGTGAGCTGTCCTGTATTCTTCAAGTATGACAACACGGGATCCGCTGCTTTTAACAAGAATTATACATTGATTAAGACCCACGAAGGTTGTTCTATCTATATGAGAACGCGATGGCGTAGATAGCGATTGAATCATTGGAATTAAAAACTGTGTTGGCACCCAGTTTGCAATAAATTGGGTAAGCAAGGCCGAGTCCAAACGATAGTCGCTTCCTAATCATCAGTGGCTGTTTGTAGAGGGCAGGGGTCACCAAACTACGGCCCGCGGGCCAGATCCGGTCCGTGGCGTCCTTGGCGATTTTTTTCCCAAGGGATGTTTCCCCGAGCATCGAATTCCTTGTTCATTTCGTGTCAGTGACCAATCAGCAAGATGCAAAAAGTGATGTAACAATAGACCCTTTCGCATCGGCCAAAACACTTTTGTCAATCGGACAGATTTTCAGTCTGGTTTCAAACAATACCTCGTTTTCGCGATTCCGAAATTTAAGTATGAATCAAATAAGTCAATCATCATTTTGCCTTCTTAGGTCGTACGTCATTTTGCGCTAATAGTACAAGTCACGTTACTTTTGTACTGCTCACATACGGATATTCATGACAGCAATTGTTTTGCTAGCAGCTAACCTCAGGATAGTTTTTAGAAATCTTGTATATATAGGAGACCCTTATTATCGGTTTTTCTGTCTGTCTGTGTGTCCAGCTCTGGCGTCTTACCGGCTGGACCGATCTAGATGAAATTTCACATGCGGGTTATCCTGTCACCCTAGTACTGTGCGTTTCATAGAAAGTTCGGATTGAAGTTTTGTTTCCATGGCAACAACGAAAAACCGCGCCGATCGTTATGAAATTTTCAATTTTCCCACAATTTATAATAATGTGCGTTTTATAGAAAGTCCAGATAGAGGTTTCGTTTCCATGGTAACAATGAAAATCGCGCGGATCGTTGTCAAATTTCTAGTTTTTTCGCAATTTATCGCCGTTTTCTCGCCAACCAAGTCGAAAATTAAAAGCCTTAGGGATTTTAGTGAACATTATTTTTTTATTTTCAGTATATTAGTCACGCGAGTATGTCGAAGGGGCGCGCAGCGTTTGAAATGAACTCAACGGAACGCGCAGCGTTCGAAATGAACTCAACGGAACGCGCAGCGTTCAAAATGAATTGGCGTTTTTAGTAGAGTCGTCTATTATCCGTTAGTAAACTGAAATGATGCGGCCCTCAAGCAATGGCGGAGATCCAATTGGGTGGCTACCGGCTTGTCTGTCTGTCTGTTTAGACGTAGCGACTTAACGGCCGAACCAATCTGGATGAAATTGTTCACATGGGTTATCCAGCCACCCTAGTATTGTGCATAAGTTATTTTTGGTCTCGATACTCCATAAACTGGAGGAGCCTTAGGAATTTTAGTAAAGATTATTTTTTTTTCAGCCACAATATACCAGTCACGCGAGTGAGACTACGAAACGCGCAGCGTTTAAAAAGAACTCAGCGGAACGCCCAGCGTTCAAAATGAACTGGCGTTTTTTAGTAGTGTCTCCTATTATCCGTTAGTAAACTGAAATAATGAGGACCTCAAGCAATGGCGGAGATCCAACTGGGCGCCTACCGACTTGTTTTGCTATGAGGTTCTTGATCAATATTCTGCGATATAGAATTTAATATTCAATACCTCAGACATGACGAATTTATATTATTGAATAGGTTTCCCAACTTCTGGGAATTTATTGTATTGCATTGACAAAAATATTTGTCCGGCCGGTTTCAACAAAGCTTGAGTCATACCTGGGCCGCGCTCAAAAAAGTTTTGTGCTCTCTGAAAAACCTCTGTTCGGGTTGAGAGGCGTGAATAAGCTTCGTATAAAAAAACATAGGGATACTTCCGTTCAAGGAAGTGATGCACTTCAAGTATAATACAGGTTTTGCACTGCCCCATCATACGTCGTCATTAGAAAATTCCTATGGTTATATTGCATGAGGTGAATATTCAATAATTCGAGCATTTCAATAACAAATAAACACAGCATAAAATAATCCCTAGTCCTTCCGAAATCACTTGTTAAAACGTTTTGGAACAAGAATACTACTTCCGTATAGAAGTAATTAGAAATTTCATTGTTTGTGAGAAGTAATCAAGTAATCGGTTTTAAAAATAAATCTACCATTTGACTTGCCACTAGGTGTATTTAACTACTTACTTCTGCATCTTGGCGTAATGACAGACCCCAAGTCAGCTTTGAATATATTTATATACTCTTCCGTATAATTGTTACAACTCGGATTCACAAGAGCTGTTTTCTGGAGTTGCACAATTTGATATGAGCAGTGATCAGCAATCTGGTTGGAAATGAGAAGTATAAAAATAACTTACATGCCAAAATATTCTAGGCTATTCCATATTCAATGAGCAAATTTAAATAACATTTGTCGCTACGAAAATCCAGTTACCGGGAGTCGTTGAACTGGGCTCGCCATGGCTGAATAATGCTTCCAACGGCTCCAGCGCTATCTAGTCACCAAATGACACCACAAGTATTATGGGGTTGAATAAAAATATATAAAATCACCGTATATTGCACCACATAAGTTGATGGTGTATCTTCTGTTATATCTTCAGTAAAATAAGCAAGCCCATCGATTTGATCTTCTCGAAAAAACGGCTCGTAAATTACCGACTTATTGTGAATCTCATTGCCAGATGGAATTTCTCGAATAATGCACTGAAAAATAATTTAGTTTATTAAAAGATAAAAAAAGTGAAAAATACCATTTAATTCTATATTGCGATTGTTCAGTAATTTTTGCCAAAGTGCTAACAAAAATATTTTTTTATTGTGCACGAATAGGGAAGCAAATTGCATCGTTATTTCGAATCTACGATTGCGGACATATTTTAACGAGATAAACTACTTTAGTTGCTATTCATTTAAATTTTAAAAACGTGTGTGACATCATAATACATTCGATACGTAATGCGGTCGACTTACGTCGATCATGTTTTTACTGTACTTACCGCCATTGTCTCTGAGCGAAGGCTTTCGTCTTCTTCAAAACTCAATGCATGGTGATATTTGTTGGATAATGCTCTGCATGAAATATCTACTGGCCATCCATAATTTGCCTTTGTCATCGAATCTTCCTCTCGATCGCAAGAAGTAAGTGATGCCGGTACTGGAATATAATTGGATATTAGCACGGAGATTCTCTTTCTGGTGTATTGAAATGTACTCTAAAGAAACTATAGTAGTGAGTTTAATTCATTTGTTCGGATTTGTAAGCTATGCGTAAACAAAAATGCATAAAATGATTAACTATCTATAATCATCCCCTTCGCAAGTATTAGTCAAAATAAAGACAATGAAAATATTAAATTAGAACAATGCTCACTCAAATATATGATCACGAGGGTGTCTAATATGATCATAAAAATACGGCCAAATGCTAAAAGAATTTTACCGATTGTCGAGTGATCGCGTTTCGTGAATTCTAAAAATAGCAAAATTTTCGGTGAAATATCTGACCCTGTAGAACTTGCGAAAATATTACAAAAAGATGGAAGTATAGCTTTCTAGAGACATTTTCATCTATATTCTATAATTACCTGAAATCCACCCATTACTTGAAATTCATTGGTACATAGGAAACAAATTTTTTTTTTCACAACATCAACAACCAAAATTAAGCAAAACTATCTATAGGTGAACTGACGATGTCAAATGAAAAAGTAAAAACTATAAAAAGTAAGTTTTGTGCAAATATAGTTCACGCAAACAACCCGATATTGACTTCGCAATCGTGTGGCGAGTGGATTGTTATCTATCGATGAATTCCGTACTATATTAGATCAGATTTGGATAGTATACACATATAACGACATTATAACATGTACTTACTGTCATCAATTCCAATGAGATTTTGGCCCATACATGGGGTTAAGCAGAATTGTATTACCAGGATTAGAAGAAGGCAAACAGTACAGTATTTTATGCTCGAAAGAGTATTCATTTTCCCCATTCTATAGTTAGATCAAGATATCTGAAAGTAAACAGAACATGTAAAATATAATATATACAGTATGAGGAAAGTGTCATACCCGGGATATAAATGAGAGGGGGTAACGAGGTATGTAAAAAAATGTGACGTCATATTTTGTATTTTACGCAAGCACAGGGCGCTTGAAAAGGGACAAACTTAAACTGTAATTCACTAAATAAATCAAGACTTGGGCATTAAATCAACTCTCTGGTACAGTCACAGAGGTTCATTTTATTAGTGTCTGATGCTTGCCAAAAGATAATTTCTGACTGAAGCATATTGTTAGAAAATATGGCCTATAGTTGTTATAATCTACATTTTCTCGAATATTATAAATCACACTTTTCGAGGTAAATGTCTGATTTACTCCACATGACATTTAGTCTCAATTCGATGTTCGATGCCTTACTCAGTTTTAAACTTCAAACGTGGTCCCGTATTGAACAAACATCGGGCTAAGTAAACAAATATATTTACAGCTTCTGCCCTTTACGAGGGCCTAGATTAATCATCAGTTCGAGCGAATAAATATCTTTCCAGATTGGCATAAATTTTTCAATCTCTTACAATTCGGATGCGGACATGGACCGGGGTTGGAATTCAATATCTCCGATAACTAAAAGGAGTGTATAGGTATTGATCATAACTCTGTTAAACTGGTTTAAAAAACTTTTTTCATTTATTCAAGTTTAGGTTATTTTGAAATCGATCGTCTTGAAACAATTCTGCCGATATACTCGAATTTAGAGAATTAATGCCGGTAAATGTTTTACCAGAATTATTTGTTTGGCAGATATCAGGATGGAACAAGACCCGGAAAGACAAATAGATGTTGAAAGAAATGTTTGCTTTGTGACGTCATAGGATTAGGAGATAACGCCCCCTCTATTTATTGCACGATCATAATGTCCATGAAGACAATATGAACGTCTGTAATTAACGTTGGGTACCACTAATAATTAAACATGAAACAATACGGTTGTGAGTCACGGCGATGTAGTAACTTTGAATATTGAAAGACGAAATACAAATTACTACAGGGTAGGCTAAATGTAATACAGACATTGAATGATTCATAGTATGTAGAATAATTTTTATGAAGTACCCTCTTCACAACATTTCATACACATCTGTTAATTAATAAATCGCAATTTGCAAACGTTGTGCTCATACACGCCGACGTTAATTAATTTTTGAAGAATAGTTGCCAATTTTTTCTTGACGAACAAAATATTGTTCCGACACTAACAGAGTATACAAAACAATATTTCTCACGAAAACACTCATAAAAAAACTTGTTTTCGACAGAACTGGTTTTACATCATAATAATATCCCGTCAAGTCACGATTCTAAATTCCGTAGTCAGTGAACCGGCAAAAGTAAAATCGTAGTGACCAGAAAATGAAACGGTAGACATGTGCATAGAACAGGCGCGTCGAACTCAACTCCTACGAATTTTATCTTCGTTTCCAATATATATACTGAAAGTTAAGTGCAGTACAACCATTGATACGTATCGAAGAACCTTGTATTTACTACTACTTTTGGACAAGGTTTTAAAAAACAGGCATCATGAACGCACTTATCCAGACAGTTTTAAATTATCTAAGTTCGTGTATCATACTTAATTCACTACACCTCGAGAAAGCTGCTCGTAAGTAAATTAAGTAACTGAATCTGAGATATCTAACTCACATAACCACTTTTGTATAATATCGCAATCGTTCATGTGGTTTAACATGTAGACTGAAATCAAATATTTGTGCCAGATGCTGACCAGTCTAACGGCAGCCAAACGTGGTGGCTCTGTTGGGTACTGCATATTTTAAAACTTCAAGTGTTTCCAGAGCTATCAATAAATTCATTGATTGCAGGACGTCGTATCACTTCGACTAGTACTGCGAACTACGCACCTTTCCCTATCGTATTTCGAGTAAATTTCCTGTTTGCTCCAATCATGTAGTCAACAAGCAAAATTGGAAAACATATGTCAAACATGGACCAAATGCGAAAAAACTTTCGTAAAATAAATAAGTTTCGATTCATATCCTGATCAACACGTTATATGGCGGGTCACAGCTAGTCGGTTTTGTATTTTAAAATGGGGGTCAAACATTATAGATCAAGGAAAATAAAAACTGTCTATAATTTGTTGGCTGGTATATTTAAATCATAGGAAAAATTAAGGGAATGTACATGAGAAGACAAGAATTCAAACATTTTCAAAGTTTTGCACAAATGATGCACATAAAGGCCCAAATATTTATTATTCCGACACCTATTTTGTTATTTCGAATCAATCGTAACTAATATAATAATCAAGTAATTGTCGTTTACAATCTATAATAATACATAAGAGATGATTCTGATATAGATAGACGTTGCATCGAACGATTTCCAATAAAACCTTTTATAGTAAAATTGTTATAGGCAATTTTAGGTTTTGGTCCTACTTCAAACGAAATTATAAAGAATACAACCGTGATAGTACTCAACTGTTATTCGCGTGTACTGGATCACATAAGTAATGTCTCAAAAAAATGAAGTTTGAACGTTTCCAGCAAACATTTTTTGTGGAAAATAAGAAACATTTTGCATAAAATTATATCAATGTAAAGATACGATTCCCTAAAATTTATCCAACATACTTTTATTCTGTAACATAATGGGCTTGGGAAATCCTAAATGAACCGATTAACATTTCACTCCATAGTAATAGTTCAAATGCACTTCTTGAATGATACATGTCATCTCATTATCTTCGACTGGAACGACTTCTTAACTCGGTAGCGATCTGTAACAAAATTTCAACTACCTAAGATGATTGTTTGCTATTCAAATAGCGATATAATATATATATGTAATAGTTAACCACTATTTTAAATTCAACTACAGCCTTAACACGCTGCCTTCACTACCTACACACGTAGGTAACTGCTTGGGCAATCATCAAGTAAATACGCCAGCGTGCGCGCCGTCACAATATTTAGCTGAGAAAGCTATAAAGTGAGGAGAAAGGGCTAGCCACGTACAAAGTATCGCATGGGCACAAGCTTTGCAATTCAAAGTTTAATCTGTAGGGTTAAGATTGACGTAAGCAATACCCAAAAACTCATGGACGGTTCGTTGCATTTCGAAGTAATAAGGCCGCAGTAATGGATATCGATAGATTTTTAGATTATTTCGTGGACAAGCAAGCTCTACTTGGAACACCCGGAAAGTTCTAAAATTAAATTAATTTATAATTCGGTCGAACCTAGAGTAAAGCGCGATTGGTAGTTTGGCGTCGAACATTTTAATTTTTCTATATTAATTTAGCGCGAGTTAAGATATATATGTAATTTGGAACTATTGGGTTTAAACTTGATATTCACTCCCGTATTGTAAAAAAGTTCAAATGTAAGAAAACCACTTTTCTATGCGCAAATACTACTCAATATCTATAAAAAATGGGCTTCTTGTTCGAGTTGGGTCAAGTTTTGCGCCACTGTGAGATATATCATGATAAAGTCTTCTTGGCTTTGAAATTGTCTCCCACCGTTATTTTAACCTATCGTCGACCAGTAATGCTATCAGAAATCATTTTAGTTTATCTTCGTGCATTCGTTGTTCCATTGCCGTGGCTGAGTCAACGTTTGGTTAAATTTGAAAACAAAAGAAATTTGAGAACATATGGAAAATAAAATTCAATAGTAGCTGATTCAGATATCTTAAATATTGACGACGCTATAAAATGATGTCATGCGTGATGTCATATGAAAACAATGCTCTTTATTTTGTCATGAACGGTTTATCGATTTAAAATAGGATGAAGGAATATTAACAATATATTTGTTCTCAAAATTTTAGAAGTTTGTCTTTTCTTGTTAAAGTGCTGAGGTCACGTTTCTCGGAAAATATGTTCGATCTTCCGAATAAAATTTAGCATTTGTCAAACTCCGTGCAGTGTAAATGAAAATTTAAAATCAACTGGTTCATCTATTCTAATCCATCTTTATCTAAACTCTATTCTCTATTGAATAAAGCAACAACCAGCAATTGGGTTTTTGAACTGTCAGGGAATTTTGTTCACTTCCTGGCTGTAACTTTGTTTATGCAAAACAGGAACCTGAAATTATGTTCATCTCCCTGTGAAATATGCCCGAAGGCTGCAAGAATCCTTGGAATCAAATACCGCTTGCCACTATTGTCAAATATCGAAATGCAGTGTACAGCATGTCTCACCTATAATTAGCCCCGCCGCGCCAAAACTACGTCCGGATTACATATCTCATCTCCCAGAAACTATCTATACAAATGTTGATGTTGGACTCTAACAATAAAATGAACCTAACGAGGTAAGACATCAAGTTATAAACAATGAAATCATGACATGACTGTACTTTCGTAAATATCAGAAACAATAGCTGCCTATAATCCTAAATCTTTCATTAAATTCTTGGTATTATATAATTCAGTAAAATCATTGGAAATTTTTATTACTGCATATGCACGATAGGGTCAATCTCGTTTCTAGATATGGCCCATGTAAGGAGCATATTCGTGAATTGTGCATTATTCCCTAGTTTTGTTTTTCTCGAGACTATTATTAGTCAACATACGTTTACATATTGGAAATAGTTGGGATGGTCATTGAATGCAAATCAACTAAAAATTCACATTGTCTAATATACCCTATTGTGTCTCGGGCCGTTACGTGAGTCAGCATAAGAAACATAAAATTATGCTATGGGTTGCTGAACAATTTCGTCGTTTTGGATTCACTTTTTTCAAATTAAACACCGAATTGGAGTCCTAATTTCAATGTGCTTTTTTCAAACTGCTTCTGTTGGGTGTAAATGCATGACAAAGATGGCAGACTATTTACCAAACAATTGGGAAAATGGTACTCCACTCTTTCAAATCTGATTTTGTTAATTCCAAAACAATTATGAAAAAACTCTACAGCTCGAAATCGGATTTGTATAAATAAATGATTATGCGGTCGACAATTTGCCAAAAGGTAATTACGATGAACATACTTCTACATGTCCCTCTCATTATCGTATTTTTGATATTATTAGATGGTATTATGCGGGTACCTCGTGATGTACGAAAAAAACCTTCATCGGGAAGTCATGATTCTTTAATCAAACCACTAAGGTTTGATAACAAATTCACGTACATCATAATCACGTTCTAACTGTACGATTTGACATTTCTGAGGCTAACGCAATATCTGTTGTTCGTACATTCTCACAATTTAAAATTCTGACCTGTGTTTTTGTGGAAGCTGTCGATTGATACATCCTATCTAAAATGCTTATACATGTACGTTAAATATGAAATGTGCGAGAGTATAATCTTTCCCAAACGAAGTTCTAGCTACCGCCCCAAGGCATATTTGATACTTTCAATGAAATCTAGAACATAATTATGTTTAGCTTCAGTCTATCATATTTTTATTGAAAATATCGAATGCAAAAAAATTCAAATCCTGTGCACATGAAAAGAGATTAGTTAAATAAATTTGTTAATTATGTCAGGCATAATTCTCGGAAAAGTACTGGCGATTTACGGGAACATAGAACGCTCACATGAAACTGACTCAAATAATGTATTAATTAATCATCAATCGTACGGCGCTTGTCGCTGAAGCGTGAACCAGGGAACACAGATTCATTATACAATATGCAAACTTTCTATATTACGTTATTTAATAGAAAGATACATTAGCAACACAAAATATCCTCCATTCAGTTATAATTTCCATTAGACTCCATATATTCTCCTATTGCCAAGTTAGGTACATTCTGGGGTAAAAAGTTCAAAAGCACTATGTATATTGTAATAAAACGCTATCTAATCTTCATGCCTGTAATTCCTTTATTCATTGGAATAAATAAGCTAAGGGTAAATGTTCTCGAGTCTTGACCAACAAGCATCGCACGTGTGCTAATTGTTTTACGACCTAAAACGATATCACGAAGAGTCGTCACCAC